CTAGACTTAGTACTTCACTGGCGTGATACTTAACTTCAACTGCTACCTAGAGTACTAGTAAGTACGCAACCATGATTTTGGTATTGCACTTGTATTGTTCATTCGCTATGTCTCAAATATTCGATCGTGTTTGACCCTATTCTAATACTGCCTCTATTACTTTATATTGATATTATGAATTCTATTATTGCTTTTGCCGCAGGCTTCGACATGCCGCCATCCCATCATAGGGGATGGTAGGTTGTTGTTCCAACTCGCCCATGTCCCTCTTAACGAGAAGACAATATGTATATTATGGGCCTGTAAATTTAAAGATTGTTATTGATACCATGTCCCACATTTCATTAATTAAAATGTTTGAGTGGTCTAACATTGTCGCGTTGCAACATATGCTCCCGCCGACAATGACAAGACTTATAATCACATCCACCATTTGGATGTATATGCACGAGCTATGTCACCTTCCATACATCGATCTGAATTCGTTGCTGTTGGAACGGGACTTATCAGCTTATGGATATTCGCCTGGATACTTATCCAATTTTGTATTATTTTGCCTTTAGCCTGGTTTCTACTACTGGACCGACTTACCTCGAGCTGGAACTAGGGGATGATCTACATCCTACACCAAACTACCTGACAGCTAGGACTTCGAGATCCAGGGACTCTCACCACCACGATTTATCGCGGGAGAGTCATCTTCCCCTCGCAGACATCCCACGGAATCTACGACCGGGAACTCCGACTTCGCTACGCTCAGAACAGCACCGAAGGCCGGAACAGGGACACTGCTTCTTGAACAGAAGGACTCCCACACTGTGTGATCCACCGAGACCATCACAGAATCTATAAAGGCTAAGTTTACCAAGAACGAGCATAGAACTTGAGCAATATAGCAGTAGTAATGATGATACCGTCTTTTGTAGTTAATTTCACCTTTAACTAGGACTTCGTTTCAGTCTATACTATATGTATATAGATAGGTGTTATGTCCGTGTGGTTATTCGGCTTAAATAACATATCCCTAGACAGAGTGCCAAGAGGAGATCTCATACGAGGGACACTCCTCTCTAATAAGTCATAAGTCAGATCACCACACGTGGTAGCAATACACTTCGTTCTCCGTATTGAAATATGGGTGGATTTAAAACTAATAATATCCAATGCCTTCAAAGCCGATCTAGAATTTTCTAGAAAGTTCCAATATTAAAAAAAAGCTATAACTATCGTATTTTAAAACCGATTTAAATGGGACACATTTTAAATTAAACTCTATAATTTATCGGAATGATTTTTATAGGGCCCCCACCCCATCTCAGATATAACTTAAAGAAGGCTTTATGAAATGGGACCCCCGCTGGGGCCCCATTTCATTTTAAGTGTACTATGGCTATAGTAGTTCAATTAAATTGTATAATCACACCGGAAAACGGGACTGCGCCGGGATCGGTGTCAGAATGGGATTAGGGTTCCAATGGGATCGGGTTTACACAAGGATTAGGTCCTAATGCAATCCCTTGCAACGCCGGGTATATTGGCTAGTATATATCTTGCTAAGCCAATGATTGATGAATATATATTGGGATTTCTCCCAAACAAATGTTGGTATATATCTGGGAAAAGGAAAAACTTCCCCAACAGGTCAGTAGAATTACCCGATGGAAGCTCTCCATGTAATCTTGTGTGAATGTGACCGGTGCCAGCAGCCCATAGTCTAACAGGAAACGGTCAGCAATTTCAATGGTAACTGGACGAATTGGATCATAAATGAGACGAGAAATTATCATGAAAAAAATGTAAAAAAAATGACATCATATATCAAAATGTCAACAATTTCAAACTTCTATTTTGAACAAAATCGAATTTCATTTGTGACCCATATGTGGCCTATGTTTTAACCGTCCCAAATGTCTCACTTCCTATGTGTGTCCTAAAGTCACTACGTAAAACTTTTAAACATGTTTAAAACACCCCCGACATGTGGTCGATTATCCACAAATTCACCCACTCCTATCACAACTACCCACGTGTGGCTAAACATCGCCACTTAACATGATCCAATAGTACCACATCTCACCTTTCATCTGAGCTAACTGCGCCTCGGCGTCCTTATTGATCAGATCGTCGACCATATCGCAAAGCTGCGAAGGAAACATCAGAATTTATTGGTCATTATCGTCGTCTTAGTAGATAGAAACTTTCGTGTAGTAAATAAAAAAACAACAACAAACAAGGATTACGACTAAAACCTGACCACTACGGTCATCAAATAATGATCACGTGACGGGCCAAGACCTTGACCTACATTAACATTATCTTTGACGACACCGTCCAGGACTCCGCTGAGGAGGTTCCAGAACCAGGCACTGCCACCGTGGAAGTCGAGACTGACCCCTCCGATGTGAGAGTTACAGTTGAGTGCTTTTAACAGCGGGCGGTTGGCTTGGTCGACCCCTGGGTGGATCAAATCAAGGGAAGTAATGCTATCATTTAGGAAGTTACGCTTGTATAACAAAATTGGGTCAATGCAAAGAAGGGATGCCATGACGTCATTTCCGTGTTTATTAAAGTTGCCGTGAATTAGGGTTACGGTTAGGTTTAGGGATACATTTATGTTTCAGTTAGGGATACATTTAGTTCGGTCTAGTGCCATAATTAACTGGTTGTGTCAACCAAGATGGCGGCCATGGAGAAAAATGTGGCTTCCATTCTCTGCATTTACCCAAAACTGAATACTTGGAGATAGTGTTGTATAACAAAATCAATAAACGGAAATAATACACAGCCAGTGCTCGACTTACGACCACGGTCGGTTCTGACAGACCTGTCGTAACACGATTTGGTCGTATGTTGAGTACGCTATGTGTTCAGATTTGGTCGTATGTTGAGTACGCTATGTGTTCAGATTTGGTCGTATGTTGAGTACGCTATGTGTTCAGTAATGTGAAGTGATGTTATAAAAATATGAAATTTTAATTATAATAATTATATCATAAATTTCTTTTATTATTGTTATAAATCATAATCTTCGATGGGAGATGGGATTTCAAAGTTTCAAACTCTGAAGAGCTCTCCAATCAACAAGCTTTAGCCGCTCTTGGGGAAGTCAATGGACCTAGGGTTATAGAGTGTGACCGTGG